GTAAGACCTGGAATAGGCCATAGGACACAAGCTTGTGTGTGACATGGATGAGGTCATATGTCAAATTCATTGAGGTGAAAGGGTGAACCACATGAGTAATAGAACATTATAAATTGGACATTGGACAATCACTTGACCTATGACCCCCAACTGTCAAACCCTTACTAATTCATCTTGTCCTTCTCTGAATTTCTTGTATTAGTTGGCCCATTTACTGCCTGGGGAGTGGACACTACACAAACAGTTGGAGTTAACTAGATACAATTGTTTTATGCCCTAACAAAACAAAAGGTACAAAGGTCCTGTAACTAGATAAAATTCTCTACACTGTATTAATTCTAAACAACTCCATGTATATAAAATATTGTTCTAAAACATAATTAATAATAAAAAAAAAAAAATATTTTTGAAACAAAAATAATCTGTGTTAAATATCCATGTGTACATTTTGCATACACAGTAATAAAATTTCAAAAAAGTTATGAAAATGATAAAGAGAAAAAGAGATTTGTAATTGTTGTTTAGAAGAAATCCTTCAGGCTGCTTCAGATCAATTCTGGACAGTTACTTTCATCATATATATATTAGTCCCATGTAGGGGACAATGGTAACCAAATCCTCGTTTGGGGCCTACATTTGCTTCTGTTAATAGATTTACACATTTGAATGTAGAAGTAAATTGTTTTGGATATCATATTGAAATTACCTACATTGTTACCATAACTTTCAGTTATTCTGTGTTTACAAATCCTACCATCTGATAAAAAAGGGTTAATTTTGACATTTCAACAAAATGCTTTTTTCACTTATCCTCGTTTTTTTTCTTTATTTCAGAAGACATAAAATCAAATAGCTACAATATTTCTATCAAATATTTTAATCTCTAAAATATAAGAGCACTTCTGATGGAATTTCACAGTTTTAATGTTCCATCAGAAAGTACGGGAATAATCATCTGGAGATTTAGCCTATAATTTCTGCTGTGTACTTTAAATTTTCTTTGTTAAGTAATTAATCCATATTTAGGACATTCATCATATAAAACTGATAGAAAATGTTTTTAAACTCCTGTGGGGAGGTTTTCTCTGTAATACTTTCACATTTTGATCAATGAGACCATCACTGTATGTCAGAGATAAAGAATTAGCAGGCATAACCAATGAGGGTAACGTTCTCCTGTTATCAAGATGGCAATTTAAACATTAAAACCAGTCCGATAGAATCGAGGCTCCATTACAGCGACACTGTAATCAAATAAGATTAATTAAAAGGCATGCTGCATAGGTCTGCTATTATGAATATTGCATGCAGCGAAGGGTTAATCAGATCGCTTTGGGGGACAGCTCTTCCACATTAGGTCGGCATTTTTGGTATTTCATCAAGGAAAATATTTTTCTGCCATTTAAACTAATTTCTGCCGATTGTTTTAAATGATCCTCCGATATGATTTCAAGGAGTTCTCTTGTTTTATATCATGTGATGTATACAGATAGTTTGAATGTGTGGTTTCCAGGAATTTTTATTTCAGAAGAATTGATGTCACACAAAAAATAATTTCCTACCTGATCGAGGTCATGTTCTTGTCCTACGGTATATTTTGCCAATAACTCTCTACCTGATCAAGGCCAAGCTTGCATCCTACTGTATATTAAGCCAAACCTTAATATGTAAAACAAGATCGTGCTATCATTGTCAATCCATTAAAAAAATTGAAAGTGATGTTTTGGTTTAAAATTGGTGACCTTGGTAGATTACAGATGAAGTTTATAAATATTGCTACATTTCTTTTTCTAAAGATAACAATATGTATTGATATAAAGATTTATACATGATAGTGTAATTACACACATTTATATTTTTTAAATTTTTTTCTCTCCTTTAAAATTTGAATTTGTCAGTCACTATCACAGCTATATATGTCTATAGTATTGACAGAGTCTTCTTTAATTACTGTCTAAACATCATAACAGTTTTTTCCTGTGAGATGAATAATGCTGACCGTCACCTGCCCTAAGTTGTTAGGATGAATCACCCACTCCCATCTGCCATGATGCTGTGTAAGAGGTAGCAGCCACATTCGCGTTACGTACACATCTATCTGACTCACAAATAAGGTACATACGGTTTTAGAATTAATTGACTACAGCAAAGAAAGTCTTATTAGGGAAGAGGAGTCAGGACATGATCGGTAATGTGTTTCAGTAATTCTTGAAGAACACCCCATGTCTGAGTGTATACAATGACAATTGAATATGTAGATATATTCACTAAAAAAAAAACACCAGAGATTCAGTAAACCATAAGTCTCATTAGTTTGAAATTTCCTCTCAAAACCAACTTACATGCTTCAAATATGTTTACTAGAAACTATTGTTTAATTAAAAAACTTAAAAAAAAAGCATTCTTAAGATCAAATATCAAAATGTAAAAAAGATATAAATATTTAATCTGGAACTTAAAATTATTTTTCATGACATTTTTTTCATCTTAGATACTTCAATCATTTTAGGTTTTACTAGGCTGGTACATGTTTTTCTCCATAAAATGATTCCTCTTAAAATCTGTACATAATTTTTAACCATCAGAGAAAATTAAAAAAAAAAAAAAAATCTATTTGTATTTCACAACAAATGTAGATGTAGAGGTTACCTCCCTTTAAACAGGAGTCGTTAGGTACAGTAACACAGACAAGTGTTTGAAATGAGGTCGCAGACACCAAAGGAAAAAAAAACTCAAGCAAATCAATGCAATACATGCCATGAAATCTCACACAAACTGTAATTTTAGCTGTTTCAGAATACGGAGTGTGCAGGATACTCCCTGAAAAGCTATTAGCAGCTACAAGTTAACATTTTACACACCAATAAAACACTACCACTGCCATACATCTACTCCCCATACAAAATTTAAGTGTTTAAATTTATGTTCTTTAGGGATTTCTGGTTGACCCTTAAAAGTTATTTCTTTTCTAAAAAAAAAATAAAAGTCTTGGTCAAATTGTCCTCGCGAGTATTGGACCCTCGGCTGCATTTGTAGGTTTTAGGGTCAGTGATGGACGTTTTAATCATGCTTTGGTTTGTAAACACTGCACTACAACACTTTCCTGTCCTGCTGGAGTTTACCAACATCAGGCTACACAATATCTATTACAATGTTATATTCTTCTTTTCTATATACAAGTATATTCTAACTGTCTCATGCTTAAAGTACAATAAAAACATGTACTGCAGGTGGTTTTTTTTTGTTTTGTCGTTATTTATATGCAATTAAGTTGCCATAAATTCCAGATTTATTAGACTTTTTTTTCTATAATACTGAACATAAAGACTGATATGTTTTTTAACACTCATTCTCCGCCGACAATAAAACGACAATGAAGACACTCTACTGACCTGCCATATATTACTGTTAAACATAGTAGGAACTTGCTACGAACTGTTAAATTTGTCAATATAGAGTTCAAGGAAAAACTGGGTAAAATGTTATGAATATATACAAAAATTAAAAAAAAATGTATCCAGTTATTGACATAATCATGCTTAATTACCATCTATTTACCTGTATAAATAACAACAAGAAAATACCAACATGTAAACACAATCATAATCCAAACTCCTAGACAATAAAACTTAGGCAAAAATATGAACAAATGAAACATTTAAATGAAAAATCCTGAAAAGGTATAAGGAGAATAAGACCAGGTGTTGCGGAAGAGTAAGTGTCATCTGCTACATCAACGACACCTGCCATGTCAATTTTGGTCAATCAGAGCAAGGAATTGTCACATTTTCTAATGAGAACAAGGTATATAACAACAGAACCAACAGGCAAACTAATGAACATCAAATACGTCAAGCTTCATGTCACGCACAGAAATAGAATATTTCTCAATGAGATCACAATGACAACCGTAAACATAAAATTATTGATCTTGGATTATGATAAGTAATAAATAGATACTGTAATAGGTCACAGTGACCTAAATTTTTTCTCATAGCTGATGGAGCTTCATGTAAAATGTGACGTTTGAAACAAGAAATCAAGCCCAGCTTACGGACAGAAGGACAGATATTACATATATCGAAGTATGTACTCAGTACCGCCTTCAATTAAGTAGCCAGTGTATAAAAGATGTATAGGGATTTGGCAATCATTTAAATGCTCATTATACAACTGTCATAAATTTTTTTCTTTTAAAACAGGTGTTTTTCTCTAAAACAGGTACAATTTCCTTTAAAAGAACAAATACAGTGTTCTCCTTGAGAGGTAAAGGTTTTTAAAGACAGGTGTTTGCAAATACAAAAATGGCAAAGTAAGAAACTGGAGTCATTGTTGAATGCCTGTAGTATATTGTTTAAGCAATGGCAGACGAGACAAGGACAGTGTAGATCTCCCGTGCTAGTCCATAACACTGACAACCCTATTATAGCTCTATTGGCACATATTGATAACCTGTCAGATTTATGTACCACATTTAAATCTCATTTTGAGGTAAAAACGATGAAAAATTCCTGTCGCGACTTTCAATTATGTAAATACTTAAAGGACATGCACAGGGTGAATTCTACACAGTGTTATATATCTACATAAAGAAATGGATGTTATCTTACATACATAGATATAGAAATACACAAAGCAGTCACAACTGACTAAGAATTAAAACACAAAAGAATAGATTAAGTCTTTGCATGCTTTAATTTATTCTGAATCAGAGAGATGCTCCTTGATAGGGTGAGAGCTAGTTCTTGTTACGTGTGCCAACTTTTAAGAAATGAAACTTAAATACATGCTAGGATCTGTACACTGCGTGAGGCAGGACATATACATATAGAGCTTCAGTTAGATAATGACTGATCATGACATGGGAGCTAATATTTCGAAGCTTAGAAAGAAAAAAAGAAATGAATCACACCACCTGTATAGTTTGTAATGCAGAACTACAAGCTGTAAATACAACAGAGTTATTGGTGAAAACACAACATTTAATTTTACCTGTGATATTACTGCAGCTTTGACAGACACTGAAAACCTACAAACAAAACAAGTCATTTTCATCAGAACTATTTATAAGATTTTTTGCATTGATCCATTCCATCTTGGTGGTATAACATAAATCGGACATCACCGATCTCATCATTACAGGGTTTGAACAGAACAACACATAACATAACAAAGAAGACTTTTAAAAATTTTGGGTGACATCACAAAAGTCGCCTCCTGGAAGGGAAAAGAAAATTCTATCAAATTATGACAATCCATAATTATTTATTTTTTTTTTAACCTTTTTTAAAGAAATAAATAAATGGCACTGTACAAGCTGTAAGAAATGTAGTTAAATCCTAAACAGTGTTGATGGATTAATAAGAATCCTATTTTAATAAAACAGAAAAAAATATTGTATATCTTGTTGATATTCTTGATACCTCAATTTTACAGTTTGCAAAAAATTTATTGAAATCTTCACAGACAGCTTATTTAATAGTTGTCTGTTTCCATGGAGAAATGCCAGATGCTGACTGTGTTTTGGCAAAATATCCTTCCATTGATCAGAACAACTATTTAGTGATATCTATTCATTATTAGTTGATACCTGACAGGGTACATGGATGTTTTATATTGGTACAACACTCTCTTTAGTTAAGATTTAGGGAAATAATTTAATTCTCAAAATTGGAGGTCACTGGGTATGGAGGCAAATCTTACGGAGACATGCACACGTCAGCATCAAACAACAGAGACACAGGATATTTTTCATTTTAGTGGGAGGAAAGAATATTTAACACCTGAAAATGATTGGCATAAGGAATTTTTCATTTCAGTGAGAGGAAAAAATATTTCATCCCAGAAAAAGATTAGTACAAGAGATTTTTTAATTTTAGCGGGAGAAAAGAATACTTCACACCTGAAAATGACTGAGACATGGAACTTTCATTTCAGTGTGAGAAAAAAAAAATTCAGGTCTGACTGAAAATGAATGAGATAAATAATGGAAGGACAAAATGGTTGACACATGAAAATGACCGAGACATGGAATTTTTAAAAAATACTTCACATTTGACTGAAAGCGATTGGGAAAAGATTTTTTTTTTTTCATTTCAGTGGGAGGAAAGGATATTTCACACCTTAAATTGATTGAGGCAAGGAATTGTTTGCTTTAGCAAACGCCAGTAAATCTTTGTTATACGTTACAAATAACATGAAGAAATACTGAAGTTTTATCCTACGGATGATTTTCATTAAGATTCTTCACTAAGTAGCTGTTGGAATGTCATTTTGTTTTCTGTGTGTGAGGTCATTCCATTTATTGCCATCCAGATTGACTTGACACAGAAATCACAAAGAATTATTTGATATTAGCTGTAATATTGTCATAGGCACAAACTGCTGGCGCCCCTTGTTGATCCAGTCTAATTATGTATGGAGAATGGAGACTTATACTTGTTAAGATTTCTAAAAGACAGCAGACAGTCTTATCAAAATCAGCTAAAATGCGAGATGGCTAATGACATTTGTCGAAATGCTAATATTTCTTTTATCTTATTTCAAAAATCATGTATTACTCTTTGGTATCATTATTCAAAACAGATTTACAGAGGAAATTTTCAAACCCTTTGTATGGCGATACTTAGACAATTTTACCATCTATAATTGGTATCTTGGCGATAACGTGACGGCTATGGCGCGTCGTTGATTGGTACTGCCCATCATGGTACAATGACATTAATTCCGCCACGATTGGGGTATATGTGTTTTTGTGAAGGGAAGTCATTTCCCCCCAATGTAGTCCGGTTCTGATTCATTTTATCAACAATATCATTTATTCATACGCAAATAAGAGAAATAACCGTGCTTTATAAATACAATGAATCAGTAGAATTACCAGTAATGGCGGCTTCCCTATATCTAATATTTCTTATATTTAGCAAACATATCTTGGGATTGGCACTCGATCATGTGTTTTAATTACATCAACTGGGTTTTGATGCGAGCTGGAATTGGAAATCTGACAGTCCTTGGCCCAACAAGATAAACGAGAGTAACAGGTCTGTATTTGGTCCCGTCTTGTTTGACTTAAAGTATTAGTGCAAATGAAATGTTATGAAAATTACAACGAGTCACTGATGCACAATTTTGATGATGTTAAGTAGAGAAACAACCTATAAATCTATCTTGATTTTTGTGGCAATCAGCAAACCAGCGCACACAACCCCGTACAGATCAACGATAATAAATGCCAATGGACAATGGTAAAAAAATGAGACGAGCACCCAAGAGTCAGAGGCTGTAGTTGATCCGAGACGTAATTACACATTAATTGTCAGCGGGCCAGGTCTAGTCAAAGTTCTATAACATTTAGACAAGATTGAAAAAAAGCTAGGAATCCAGGATGTATTGGAGCTCTCCAATCATTATTTTAGCTTTAATATCCACTTAGGGAACTCTGTCCCAACGTTACACATAAATTGCTATTAATGTTCTGTCTGAGAAAATTACATACAATCAATGGCTTGAATTTTTTTAGATGTCTTGAGTTGGCAATCGTGTCCTGTGTTCTGCCCACTGGAGAACGGGGTCTGGGGTCCATCACTGGCACAAACGGAAACCGACACTGATAACTAATTTGCAATTAGCGAAGCAGATAGCTTGGGTTTTCTCTGAAAGTTTGTTTGCTCTGTATGCAGAGGGCCCAGAAATTGGATACCGATTAAGATTAATCTATGCTCATATTCAGGGTCTTTGAGGAATAATCACTTCTGACGCTCTGATATTTTCAGGGCAATCTTCCCAACTCATCAATACAACGGCAGATTATATCGCTATCAAAGCAAACTTTATGATATGTTTTCTGCCCTTCCCACAATGCAATTTTGATTTCTGTAGATATCATAGTAATATAATAAACAAAAGTTACCTCATCCCATCCCCAGACAACAGCCATGTATAAATCATCACCAGCCCCAAATCACCCCTGGTAATACAACAGTTGCTCGGCAACGGAATTAAACTAACTGTAGATCTACAATAAATATGACAATTTGGTTTAGCGGAAATTTAAGACGGAATATTTTAATGCCTACAAGGCTGAAAATAGCAATATATAAATCCTTTTGTTGTTATTGATTGTAATCAATTTCACTCTATTTCGTATGTTTCTTAACACACCTTCAAACATCGTTTAAATGTATAATTTACATCGGAATCTTAGACTATAGATTTACCGATTTAATGTTTATTTACACACAAACCAATCATTTATCAGATGGTGTCACCGAATGATCGTCATCTAATTGCTTTAGGACTGACCCTGTAAGTGATTTCTGGTTTCAGATGCTGAAGATGATTTTTCAGTTTGGTTTCTTATACTGCTAATTATTATGTTTACAGTTATAACTTTCAATCTTGACTAAAATGAACTCAGAAACAATAAATTTAGCCTATGAATTAGTAATAGAAATTTGGTACATCCAAAGTGGAGGCAAAAACAGCTGACTGGCTGTAACTCCAGGGTATATAATATAGATATGAAATATTATTATAAAATATCTTTTTTGAAAGACATCCTTTTTTTGTGAATGAAGTCTTCATTTCAAATGTATCATTGTATGTGATGTATGACAATAGTTGTATGTGATGTCTGACAACAGTTGTATGTGATGTCTGATAACAGTTATATGTGATGTCTGACAACATTGTATGTGATGTCTGGCAACAGTTGTATGTGATGTCTGGCAACAGTTGTATGTGATGTCTGACAACAGTTGTATGTGATGTCTGACAACAGATGTATGTGATGTCTGGCAACAGTTGTATGTGATGTCTGACAACAGTTGTATGTGGTGTTAAACAACAGTTGTATGTGATGACTGACAAGAGTTGTATATGATGTTTTGACAACATTTGTATGTGATGTCTGACAAGTTAAATGTAATGTCTTACAACAGTTGTATGCAATGTCTGACAAGTTGTATGTGATGTCTGACAACAGTTGTATGTGGTGTTAGACAACAGTTGTATGTGATGTCTGGCAACAGTTGTATGTGATGTGACAACAGTTGTATGTGATGTTTGACAACAGTTGTATGTGATGTCTGATGACAGTTGTATGTGGTGTTAAACAACAGTTATATGTGATGTGACAACAGTTGTATGTGATGTGACAACAGTTGTATGTGATGCCTGACAACAGTTGTATGTGGTGTTAAACAACAGTTGTATGTGATGTGACAACAGTTGTATGTGATGTCTGACAACAGTTGTATGTGATGTCTGACAACAGTTGTATGTGGTGTCTGACAACAGTTATATGTGATGTCTGACAACATTGTATGTGATGTCTGGCAACGGTTGTATGTGATGTATGACAACAGTTGTAATGTGACAACAGTTGTATAAAACTACTGTTGTATGTGATGTGACAACAGTTGTATAGGACTACTGTTGTATGTGATGTGACAACAGTTGTATAGGACTACTGTTGTATGTGATGTATGACAGCAGTTGTGATGTGACAACAGTTGTATAGAACTACTATTGTACATGATCTCTGTGCAGTATTTGCAGTATGACTTGTACACATGACTCTTGCTCACTGGGTTGATATACATAGATAATGAAGGTGGACTCTAGGGGAGACTTGCACTAAGGCAAGTCTGTGTTAAGTGTCTCTGAGCATCAAGACTAAATGTTGAGGAGAAAACCCAAGGGCTTGGTTCATTTGTATAGAGAAATAATGGATAAGAGAGTGGATAATTGTACGTGATGTTAGTTTCCAATTTAATTTCCTTCCAGAGAAACATGATAAATAAATCCCCACACACTGTTGCTGCCTCACCCCTACAGCTTACAGAATCAAAGGTTAGCTCTACTCTTGTCATCACAACTATACATATTACGTATTGATACCTCCAAATCCCGTGCATAATTCATGTCTTTTCAAAAACTGGTAAATAACTAAATTAATATAATCATGACCAATAAACGCCGTGCGGTCATCCCTTCAGGGTGTCGACGTACTAAGTGATGTCGTTTGCCTAGATTTGTAGTATGTAAGACAATAGAGTACGTCTCTTCAAACCAATGGAAAGGTTAAATCACAAGCATCCTCCATCTTGATTTATAAACATGCACCATTCAGCTTGAGTACACTTAACAAATGTTCTTTACCTTGAGTTCATTTACAGGTGTCCTTCACCTTGCATTAATGCATAGTTCAAAACAAAGGAAGGGAGAAATTTCTGCAAAATTTGTAAAACAGATAGAATGATATGACAACGTGTGTGAAGGTAAATGCTTGTTTTGGTAACAGTGACCTTGACCTTTGACAGGTCATGCCAATACTGTTCTCATGTGACCTTGGTATAATCAGGTCATGCATATCTTTGTAATTTCATTATCAACAATGCTGACTTAAGTTTTGATCTTTTCAATAGATATTATTACTGTACCATTAACTGCCATGTTCTGTGAGGACACATTGTCTTTGGTTCAAATTATTTTGATGTAATTTCCATGAATTTTTCGAAATTTTCATTTGTAAATGATTTTTAAGATTTAAAGAAAAATTCACTTTTATGATGATTGCTGAGGAACTCTGCCAGCATCCCTGATCAACACACCTGGCAGGTTAACAACAGGTAAACAGATATCAAATATTTATTTCCCTGTCAGTAAAAAAAAATATATCAAACATCTTAACACCATATATTATCTAGCAGAAGGTACAATAGAACTTAAAAATTATTTGCTAATATACTCAATTTTAAAAATCTCAATCAAAATTTATATATTCAAAAATGAACCTGCCTTTGTCCAAAGTGAAAAACGAATTATGAACACCTGTAAAGTAGCTATTATCATAATATGTTGCGATAAGACTTGATGTGATGATATCACAGAAAGAGTCTAGTGTCAAACTAATGTGTCAGATATCTGTGTCTTCCTTAATTATGTGTTGTATAAGAATTGAAGTGTATGGAGTGACAGAAACACAAGTATTCTGCTGACACCTCATTCATAAAAATTCACTTTTAATGTAGTATCAATTTTAATTGTGCAATTTCAAGAGACAAACTTAGCATGCTTGAAGAGATTTTTCATTTTTATTTGTTTCTTTTTCAAAATTTACATCTGTTGTATTTTTCTATAAAGAATAACTGATTTATTCTTCACGCCTTCTGACACCTACAATTTAGCCTTCTTGAGAAACTTCCATGAAAAACGCATTAAAGCAAAATTTCTTTGAGGTAAATCTATATATGCAAAAGACATATTGATAAATAATCCAAACTATAATGGAGGGAGAAAAAAACACACAAAAAGTGTTTTGCGTTTAAAGATAAAAACCAGAGAGATACTTATGGTGACAGTGTAAAGTGTTCAAAATTTCAGGCTTGAGATTCTGTGAATTCTCAAAAAAGCAAAAATTAAAAAAAGAAAGAAAGAAAAAAAAAAAAAATACAAGCACACACACAAAGAGAATTGATTAGAAGTTCATATTTAGTTTTTGCAATTTCTACATTAATGAAACTTACTTGAGTTTAAGAGTTGTGTCTAATATCATAGTGAAATTTATCTAAATCTATGAAGGACATGGCACTTTAATATTACTAAAGCTGTCATGAAACGGTCTACAGATGTGACTTACCTAACTTCTTGGCCATGTCTTCAATAGTGTTCAGAGCTGAAGGAATCCTACTCTCATGTGTAACCATCACTTCTATTTCCCCAACTTGGAAACCAAAATCGGTGATATCAAGGTCGACTGTACATTCAGGAAGACTGTAGCTCTGACGATGAGTCGTAAAAGTCGCAAATACTTCCAGGCCAATGATTTTTACCAGATCTGTCGCGCTGAGATCCTCGGAAAGTCCATCCACATTAAAATGCTGAACTAGATATTTAACAATTTCGGTTTCTTTGGTCATTTCCTCATACTGTGTTGCTAATTTACAGGACACATTTCGGCTCACCTTAAGTTCCCAGGCCTGGTTTCTCTGTCTCAGCCAACAGTTTTGTAAGGTCAGGGAATATTTAGAATCATCGTAATATTTATCTGTAAATGTCGTCTCAACATTCAACGATGCTCCCAATTCTTTAAGTTTATCCACACTTTCGCCAGTGACTACAAATTTTCTTTCTATCTCGATCATCTTTACTGGTGCTGGTTTTGATGGTGTAGACACAACAGAGGTTTGTTCTGTCATCTGAGGCACAGTAGTGTTTGATACAAATTCCTCCCTTATTTCTTGACCCAGTTCCTGATGTGAAGGCGATTTTCTCCCCTGAAACTCCATACCATTGTTGCCATCAGTTGTGGACACTGAATTTGAAATAGCTATCTTGGAATGTGTTGTCTCACAAGATGTGGCATTAAAATTTTCCTCAACTGACAAGGATTTGTGTTGCTCAGGGAATCTGCTGTCTGTGATGTCCTCCATTGATGCCACTGCAGGGAAGACTTCCACCTCAGGCAGTTCGTCAGCTGCTGAAGAAAACTTGGAATCAGTCTGCCTCCAAAGCTTGGCTGCCATGGAGTCAGACCTCCAACTGTCAGAATGCTCAAAGGCAACAGAGTCTTCAACCGTTTCCTCGCTGCTGGTGTCGGCTACCACCGCTGCCTCCTTCTCATCCGCAAAGAGATTTCTTTCTTGGAATAACATCACAGAGGTTGTACTTCGGATTTCATAAGCTCTCTTCTTGGAGTCACATTTTTCTTCTTCATCTTCATCCTTAAAATTCAGAGGGTTTGACAGCACACTGACATAAGGAGAATTTAATGGACTATTTATCTCCATGGAGATAGAATTTGAAAATGTCCTGTCTTGACTAACTGTTTCAGCAGCTTTGTCCGTCTGCTTTTCTGAGTGAGAACCAGGCAAATTTTCTGTCCCTTGCTGTGACATATTGGCCTCTTTCCTGTCAATATATCGCATGTCAAACTGTAACTGTCCTGAAGTTTCCTTCACTGAATCTGGTTCAAGTTCTCGCAGCAATGCAGCTTCTTGCTCCAAGGTAAGACTCCCAGGGAAAGAATTGCCAAAATAAGTGTTATCAGACAAACTCAACCCGTTATTATTACTTGCATCTTCTTGGCTGTCACTTAATCTTTGACTGAGACTCTGATTCTCAGATTCTGATGACCATTGACCTTGGAAAGATTCTGCTGAAGTTTGACCTTGAGATCCTATTGGAAAATACAGATGGCCAGTTGGGCTAACTACTTCTCTTAAGGGACTCTGAATTTTTCTTTCTTTTCTGTCAATGAATGTCAAGTCCATACTTCTTTCTTTTGAATTCATTCTGGTAACTTTCTTAAGTGAAAACTGCTTTTATAGCTCCTGATGGCTTTAGGGTTCTAAAGATGAAGATTGAATCAAATTGGCAGGTCCAGCAACTGTAAGTACAGAACATCAATCTTTCAATGAATTAAAAACAACATTTTTGTGGTAAATTCATCTAAGACTTATTGTATAACAATTATGAACTATTCTGATACATTTTTCTATCCACATACATCAAACAAAGCCTGACAGAAATGTCTTATCTGAATGGAAAACAAAGAAAAAACCAATTAGATCTATTGAAATAAGAAAAATCTACTGTTTAACTTTATTAGCCACAGGAACAAGATATGTGTACATCCATAAACCTTACCAAAGTTTAAATTTATAATAATAATAATTATATTACATTTTGTATGTTGATGTTGACATGTTTTTATTAGGAATCTGAAAATATCGTGGTTTGATTCCAAAAGAATCTGACATTGTTTAATCACATTGAAGTATTTTGTCCAGGATAACCATCATCCAATAAGATTGAAGTATTACGTATAAGGAATCATCATCCAATTAGATTGAAGTATTCTGTGTTGTGAAATTATATATATCCTCCAATCAGATTGTAGTATTATGTATAGGGGAATCATCATCCAATCAGATTGTAGCATTATGTGTTGTGGAACTATATATATCTTCAAATCAGATTTTAGTTTTGTGTAATGATGTTATATATCATCCAATCAGATTGTAGTATTATGTATAAAAGAATCGTCACCCAATCAGGTTGCAGTATATGTGACGCTGACTCTAAAACTTATATTTATATATAACCACAGCCCTTTTATATTTAACAAATTAAGGTAACCATGTTTGACCTATCAAAATTGAACATCAAAATGTGCATGGTGTAGTCCTCTCATAACATAACATGCCTGTCCAAATATTGAAGTTGGTACAACAAGTAAACGGTTACACAGAACAGAATGGTGAAGCTGAGAGGTTAGGGCGATAAACAAAATAAGTCTATTTCTTAATACTTTTGTACTACTGAAAGGTAATAATAGATTTAACGGAGTATAGATTGAAAAGAAACAGCAAGGGAATTGGGGAGAAATGCCAGAGCATGGAATACCTCACTCAATCTAATAGGACTATATCCTTAAGTTTAATCCCCGCCTGGTCAGATCTCTTCACCACAAATTTCCTCCTCAAACACCTTTTTTCTCATTTGACTGTTTGAAACCTAGTGACAATCCATTTGTCTTAAGACAGGATATTTTAATGAAGCCACGGCCCACCCTTGAAAACACATTACAAGCTCAAACACACCTTTAGCCCTCTTATTGACCATGTGTTTTTTTGGTTGTCTGCAGACATATAGGCATCAATGTATTTTGTCTTTTATATTTCATCAATTCATCTAAGTATGTGACAGACAAGACAATTTGTTGAAAAGTTTAAAGGTCAAAAAACTGTTCTAGACAGGTTTCAATGAGGGAGACTGATTCATTTAAACCATTAAATCATTTTTTATTGAATTGATAGCTCAAACTTGTTGCCAGCTTTATCTTGCACTCTTAATGAGCACCCACTTGCTGACACCAACCTGCTGAGCAAATCACATATTTTTAAGTAATCCCCCCTCCCCTTTAAAAAAAAAAAGATGAAATCAACATATAACGCTGTCTGGAAGCGATCATATTGAACAGACGTGGAAGAATTATTTTGGTGTAAAAAAGTGTCTCCGACTGAAAACACTTTTTTGTCTTCATGTGCTATAACAACTTAGATGTTTGGGTGACATGATGTGCCAGAAAAATTCCAGGCATGAGCACTAAGAAATATCGGTAAAATTAGCATGTGAAGCGCGACTAATTCAATTGGTATAATCATCAACCTCGAAGTAGACTAGATTAATAATCACTTTCTTCCTAAGGGAATAGAATCCAATTTCATAAATTTTGAAATTCTTTAATTTAATTGTTCCCCCTATGTCTCCTATATGGAAAATAATGCAAAAAAAAAAAAAAAAAATAAAAATACCCAGTGTGTCTGTTGGTATCAAATTTTCACATGGAGATAGAAAAGTGACAGTTCAGATTAAAGGAAAATTAAATGAAACCTTGTTTTTAAGGTAACCTTACATTACCATGACGACAGACAGTGTGCGTTTTAATATGATGGCATAAAAGATGTCCTTTAAAACCATTAAGCCACAGCCGTCTACCATCTTGTTAGTCTGACATACATTTTGTACTCCATGTAATGTAGCCTCTCTTTCAGTTCTATGCGCCATTTAATTGACGTCGTTGTGACGGGAGAATTTTTGTAATATCGTTGGATTAAATTGAAGACAATTTTTTTTTCTCATTCTCCACCTAGCTGTCGCTTCAGTAAGGCTTAGATAGATTAGTATGTAAGTAAACTCCGCCCTCAAACGATGTTAAGAATTGGAATTCATCCAAAGTTTTGCTGAAAGGTTTTTTTATCAGTAAGTTACACCTTTTGTTGTAATTTTCCCCAAACTGAAATTAAGCTTGCTCGTGGAACATATATACTTGATCAATACGAAGGTTTCTTGAGAGCCTGGAGAGTCAGATCAATAGGTTCCCTTTTTTGTCTACATTATAATGGTTGTCAAGTAAAAACCACGTGCATGTATAATTGTACCTACACGTCAGACTTCCTAAATAAAAAATGGCTTTTCAAAAAATCAATAAATGATATGGACATGTCTGCTTCCAGGAATTTTAAGGGTTTTTTTTTCAGAATTGAAACAAATGTCTAGTCTCAGTTAAGTGTAATCTTAAACCGTTTTAAAAATTGAACGGCAAATGTAACTGGACATTGGTTCAAAAAACATTAACTGGACCCTAAAGCTCATGACTTACCCCTCTTGTAGTACGCTCTGTGCATGTGTAACTGACACCAATGTGACACTGGCCATTTGTTTCAATCAATCAACATTATTGATAATGTCAGTGTATTTGTTTTTTGGAGAATGATGCTTTTGTTTACATCATAATGGCCATTAAAATTGTGGCCAACATGACAAGGCTCCAAAAAGTTTTAAAAATCAATAAATATCATTGATATGTCTGTATATTGGTGCTGGTTTTTGCTGTCTGTTTGAGTCGTTTATGGTGCTATAAGCCCATCTTAAGCAGATTCTACGTGGCTACAGCATCTGTGATTGATTATCAAGAACATTGGCCACAGTTCAATCTTCCAACACAAACTCCTTATATTACATACTGATCCACTTATCAAAACATGTAGAACAACTTTCATTTATAATGATAAGATGTAAGATATTTCAAGTTAAATCCATATTTTTGATGAGGAATAAATGACAATAATTAGAATTTCTTTTGAAAAGCTTACTACCCAACACATTAAGACTCAATTCAAAATCACTTTTTTTCAGCCAGTAAAAAGACATTCCAAAACTAAAATATCGCAGAATGGATTAAAAAGTTTTGAAAATGCTTGTGAAAAGCACGTGAGATGAGAATTGAAAAAAAAAAAAATGTATTTGTTTAACATAGAATCTTCAGCAGAATTTACCATTACGGAGTGACAACACTTCTTTTCACACTCCTGGAATGTATTTCCATTGTTAAAATCACCTGTATCATTGTCCACTCGAGACCGAAGTCAAGATCTGATAGCGTTACTGAAGTGTTTTGCAGAATAAAACTATAGGAAGTGTCTCTTTGACATTTATGCTTCAGCCTGTTGAGGTAAAATAGCCGACAAATTTCTATAAATAGTAACTGTGACCTACAACACTGAGGGCTGCAGATCTTACAATACTGGAGTTACCATCATCTCACCACAGGGACTTATTGTTAGCTTAAACAGTCACCCAAGTCCTCATATCAACATGTAAACTGCTATATTCTACAACATTTGATGAAGTTAATGATTTCTTATCTTAATAAAACAAATCTATATTCTAATATTCTTACATAAATTATACTAATTCTGCAAGGTTTTACGAAATTTATGATTTTGATAAAGCATCTTGGGTCCTTTCGAGTCATGGAAAGTTTGATCAATCTACACATCTGAATCTGGAGAAGAAGAATTTTGAAATTTTGAGCAAATTTCACCCTTTGAGCCTCCCTTCAGACAGAAGGGTTGGATCTACATACTATCCTACTGCTATTTTATGACAATAATTCTAACCTAAAAACAAGATATATCCAAAAATGTTATTTTCAATAAAGCTACAATTTTGTAAAGTAAAATTCATATCATCCTTAGCGGGAAATTGGGAACCCAGGGATTATAAAATTTACAATTTTGATAAAGTTTCTCAGTCTGGAGATGATCAACAGCCTTTTTAAATATAAGCAAATGTTCACCGCCTTTTGACCCCACCCTTTCAACACACTAATGGGTTGGAAAAAACAAAAATTACAACTTTGCTTGTCATTGCCCATGGAACATTTCTGTAAAATGTTTTCAATAGGAAGACAGAATTGTGAAAAAGATACCAGATGATGACACACGAAGATGATCAGAAAGGGTCACTGAACTTCAATCAGCTGATTAAAAAGTCTTTCCAAAAATAAACATTAAAATTCATGGTACTCAAAATGACAAGCACAATAACTGAAATTCCATTATGAGTAATCAAATAGAACATATAAGCTTCATTTGATGTCATTAACATCACTTGACATTGTTAAAGTGACATGTCACTTTGCAGCAAAATATTATGAAAAGTGTCGATGAAATTGTAAAATTTGGAAGCGGAGAAATATTGTTGGTTCACACTTATTCTACAAGAATGTATAAGTTAGGTCAAAAATAAATTCTAGTAAAGCAAGGACAAAAGCCTTCTTTAATATGTGCTTCTATTTATAGGAACAAGGATGTGTGATTTTATTTATAGTAGCAAAAGGGATTTTTTACTGGTGAACCTATTTGTAGTAACAGTAGGAGTTTTCTGTGATAACCTGTTACTACCGGGATTATAACACATCAACAGTTACTACAGGGATTATAAC